GGGGGGGGGGGGGGGGCGCCGGGCGGGAGGAGAAGGGACGCATGTGCCCACAGCCCGGTTCTGCGAGATGCCCGATCGAGAGTTTCGGCTCACCGATGCGCGTATGTGTGTGTGTGTGTATGCGTGCGTGCGCACACATGTGTGTGTCTGTGGGCCCCGGCCAAGAGCCGAGATTGCATCGAGGCCCGGCAGGTCGATTGAGACGGACCATCCGGAAGCGTGAGTGTGGAGTGCGCAGGAGCGGGGACCAACAGGCCAACACGACCAGGTACCCCACATGCGAGACAGAACCACCAAGTGCCAGCGCATCGCGAAGAGCCTTTTGCCCGTTCTCCTTTGTTAAGAACGCCTGCTCAAAGTGTCGGTGCACTGGGGGCTGTGCGCCGGCAGCCGGCGGCTGCATTGCCAGCCTCCTCCCTCCAGCCTCCGCCGGCCCGGGGAAGCAGGCCTCTCAACGCCCCCGTGCCCGTGGTCGAGCGGGAGAAAGGCGTGGCGGGGGGGACCAAGCCCCTTGGCGCGACGAGGGGGCAGGGCGATTGTTGGCCAACATCCGTCGGGAAAGTAAAGGGTCGGCACTGCCGGGCCGGCAGATCGGGTGCCCATGTACGTGGATTCCTCACGTTCTCCCCCGGCTCGCTCCCCCTGCCACACCAAGCTCTCGCCGCGCCTGTCTACCCGCTGGGCCCTGTCCCCCCCCTCCCTCTCGCCCCCCGTTGCCCCTTGCCCTCTGCTCCCCCCTCCTTTCCCTTCCCCCCCCCCCCCACCCCCCCAGACGCTTGGACACTTTGTCGCTGATCTTGGCAAGCACTCCTCCTCCTCCTTTCTGGACGCCATGTCACTCCGGGTACGTGGCAGCCCCCCGCTCTTGCCTCTCCCAAGCCTGGCCTGGCCTGACCCCCGTCGTACGCGCCCGCCCCCTCTCGCCTCGCGCTGGCACATTGCTCAGGATGAGATCGTCACCTGGAACAAGGCCCTCGAGCACTTCGACCAGAAGCAGTGGCGCGAGGCCATCACCAAGTTCCAGGTGCGTCCGCTCGTGCCCGCAGGCATGCCATTTATGCATCGCCGGGCCGGGGCATTTTCTTTTTCCCACTTGTCCCCCGCGAAGAGACATGCATCCATGCGCCCCCTGCGCGACGCCGCCCCTCCGACCGGAGTAATCACTCACACCCCCGGCTGGCCAGCTGATCGACGGCATCGGGGCCAAGATCTGCTACAACATTGGTGTCGCCCACACGATGCTTGGCCAACACAACGAGGCGGTTCGTTAATTATATCCCCACTGGCAGCACGCACGCACGCACGCACACACACACACACACACACATGGAAACATACTCCCTGCTTTCGGAGCCTGACCTTCTCTCCGATCCCCTCCCCTGCTCTGTCGCGCTCCTCTCCCCTTCTGCTCTCTCTCTCTCTCCTATCCTGTCTGGCCGGTGGGGGGCCGGGGCCGGGCTCTCGGCTGGCGTAGGCTGCGGCCTTTGCTCGGGCCACCAAGGCTGACCGCTACCTGGCCATCGGCTTTGCTCAGGAAGGTATGGTGTACATGGAGCAGCAGCGCTGGGCCCAGGCCGACCGAGCCTTCAGCGATGCGCAAAATTGCTTCCGCATGAACTGCTTCATCGACTACACCCAGCTGGGGCTGCCCATCCGCCTGCTGCTGGCCCAATGTGCCGCCAACCGGGGGGTCTGCCTGGCGGCCGGCGGGTCCCCGAGCGCCGGGCTCAATGTCCTGGCCGAGGTGGCCTCCTCCGAGCTGCTGGCCGACACCGTGGCCGATGTGGCCCAGCAAAGCCGCGAGCTCATCCAGCTGGCCACGGCCCGCATCAATGCCCGGTCGTACACGCCCTTCCCCCTGCACACCGGCGCCCCGGCCGTGTATCGGCCCTCGGTCGAGAAGGCCGGCAGCACCCAGCGCCAGGATCTCCTGGGCAAGTCCAAGATCGTGGCCAGCAGCGATCCCTCGGACAACATCACCGGCTTCAAGGCGGCCTTCCTGCGTCGGCAGCAGCTGGCCGCCAGTGGAGTCGCCACGCAGGTACATGTGCCCCAAATGCGCCGCATGTGGCAGCTTGGCTATCCCTCCCCCTCGCCTGCCCCTTGCCGCCAGACGGCCCCCCGGTCACTGACGCACACCTCGACGATGATCGACACCATGCTCAGCCGCCGCCGGAATTGACGGCCATCAGCGGGCAGTCGGCCGCCGTGCCGGGGGCGTCTCCCCGGCAGGCCGGCGGCCCGCCACCGGTGGGCGGCCCCCCGTCCAGGCGCGCCGGACCGCCGCCCGTCGGCGGGCCCCCTTCGCGCGCCGGCGCCGCCCCGGATGCCGGGCTTCCCAGCAACTTCACACTGAGTGCCACGGCCCGGCTGGATGCCGGGCCCGAGCGCGACATCGATCTGTCGGCCTTCGCGGCAGCCGGCACCGGACGCACTTTCGGGCGCCTGCGCGACTTGCTGGCCGCGGCTCTCTCGGTCCCGAGCCAGGCCGACAACTGGCGTCTCCTTCGCCAGGATGCTGTCGGGGACTTTGTCCTGATGGTTGACGATGAGGATGTGGAGATCGCCATCCAGGACGCCGTGCAGGCCGTGCGCAACCGATCCCCGACCGAGCGCCACTGCACCATCGACCTGTGGGTCCAAAGTCTCTCCTGAGAGCGAGCACGCGCATCTTCTTACTGAGGGAGAGAGCCGCCGGGTCAGCCCTCTCTGCGGGAGAACCCGCCTCCCCTGCGTGTGGCCAATGTGTGCAACTATTCGTGGGCCTTCTATGTGCCCCCCCCCCCCCCCCCCCCCCCCGTGTTCCTCCTTAGAGCGGACTAGAAAATGCGGCGGGGAGAATAAAAAAAAAACCAGCGATCATACATGCCACGCCCGTGAAAGAAAACCACCAGGGGGAGGAGCGCCCCCTTGTCACCACCCCGCCGACCGTGTCAAGACCCCCCTCCTCCTCCTGTGGGAGACACACACAAACGGGCCCTGTCCCTGCCCCGCCCTGCCCGCCAAACAGACACACACACACACACCCAGCTGCCGCTAGTCCCCGTCGGTGTCACGGCCGGACGTCGACCCGCCGCCTCCCCCCGTTAAGACGAAGAAGGCGACACAAGATGCGTTCAATTATTAAAACGGGATGATTGGCAACCGGAAAAAGGGACACAGGCGTCTGTGCTGGCCCTCTGGCTTTCACTCGGCCCCCCCCCCACGATACACACACACCCAGACACACAAGAAAAAAGGGACAGCCACTCAAACACACAAACAACGCACGAAAGAAGGGGGGGGGGACCCACTGGCGGTCAGCAGGACGGGAGGCAGCAAGAGGAACGCCCGCTCATCCCCTCGTGGCACTCCTCCACACGACTGCCCGCGCCCCGCCAGCCCCCCCCCCCTCTGCGCGCACGCGCGTCTCTCTGTCTCAGGGGAGGCCGCCACCAGCCCCGGAACTGGGGAGGTAGGCCGCGCCGGGGGTGCCGCCGGGGACACCACCGCCCACCATGGCGGCGGCAGCGGGGCCACTCGTGCCGGCCGGTGGCGAGGCCGCATGCCGGGAGGGGTGCATGGTGGCGGCCAGCTGCCGCGGGGAGCGCGACGGCCCGCCGGATGAGGAGGGGGGAAATGCGGCAACGCCAGCCACCCCGCCGCCGCCGCCGGCCCCGCCAGCAACTTCGTGGGGGAAGGAGAAGAACTGACAGGAGAAGCTGTCATCGATGAGGTCCAGATAGGAGGGGAACTTCAAGCCCCCGGCAGCCAGGACATCCTGCGCCAGGAACATGTACCGGATCAGGACCGGCAGCTGGGACAGGCGCGGCCCGAGGGTCAGCGACTGGACCGAATCCCGGAGGAGCTCCACCAGCCCCTGGCGCCGGGCCAAATCCAAATAGTGACTGGAGGGCGAGTCGGCCGGATTGTCGAAGATCAGAAGCAACAAGACCTGCTCCAAGTCCGCCAGGAAGTGGGAATTGCTGCATGCCCGCGGGGCCAGGTCCACCTCGGCAAAGCGCAGCGCGGCCACCGTGTGCCCGGCCCGGATGAGCTCCACCAGCTGCTGCAACTGCAGCTGGAAGAGCAATCGCGGACACCGGGAAAAGAGGTCCATCTTCATGTCCCCAATGAGGGCAAAGGCCGCGGCGATGTCCCCCCGGAGGATGGCCTCCGAGATGCGCTTCTGCTGGGAGAGGTACGACAGATCGATGTTGAGCTGCAGGCCCACCTCCCGGCAGAAGAGCTCCGCCACCTCCTGGTGACCTTCGGAGATCAGGTAATTAAGGACGAGCTGGTCGAGGTCACTGTGAAGGGCAGGATGCACATGGAGAGAGGGGAGGGTTAGAGGAGAGGAAGGGGGAGCGAGGGAGGGAGAGAAGCAGGGACAGAGGCAGAGGGAGGCACATCGAGGCATCGAGGAGAAAGTGCTTCAGTGCAAGATTACCAGTGTTGGCGATCGTCATTGAATCACTAAGAGAGATTCCCATTCTTGCAAAGAGTTCATCACTAGTACTCGCTCACTCGGTCTCTCGACATGCGCTCCCCTGTCTTGCCGCCACAAAGGGCGAGAGTGCGGAGCCCCTGGCAGGGGGGGGGGAAGGATGCGGGGCACAACGAACCTGGAACAGAGGGGGACCTCGGAAATGAGCCGGGACCACTCAAAGAGACTGATCATGCCGGAGGAACCGGAGTCGTCGGAGCGCCGCATTCTTTTGGAGGGGAAGCGGAGGCGCAGCCTGGCGGTGAAGGGCGCGCTCGCGCAAGGGCGCGCAGTGTACGTGGCGGGCCGCGCGGCCGAGAGGGAGGGGGAGGGGCAGCACAGTGGGGCTCCACAGGGCGCGGCTGTTCCGTCTACTCCCGATGAGAGACGAGGAAGGAGCGGCAGAGAGAGGGAGAGAGAGAGAGCAGGCCCGAGCGCGAGGGGGGATGGGGTCTCTCTGCAGGGAGGAGAGGCCTTTGCACGCGCACAGAAAGGAGATGCACACACACACACACACACACACACACACGGTCGCAAGGAGAGGCGTGTGGAGGAGGAGAGGAAGGGAGGCTCGGAAAACGGCGTGATGCTGCCGGCCCGATGGTGGTGGCCCAGTCCGGGCCCCCTTAAATACTCGGCCTGTGTGCCAGTCCCCGGGCCAGGCCCCACCCTCGGGGCGCCCGGAAGAAGGGAAGACACCCGGCGGGGGCCGGAGCGCAGAGCCCCACCGCCGAGAGGGCGAACGCGGGGAGGCGGGCCTGCCACTCGGACAAGAACGGGCAGCGTGCGGCTGTCCTCCGGCCGGCGCAGGACGGGCCCCCTCCTCCCCCCGGCGCCTGCCCCGGTGTTCTCCAGCCATCAATCTGACCGCGAGACGCAGGGAGAGAGAGAGAGAGAGAGAGAGACCAAGAGAGAGGGCGAGAGAGAAGGAGGGAAAGCCGGGCGCGCGGCCACAGCCCCACACGCCATCGCCCTTCCCCGCGGGCAGCGACGCGCCCGCACCCGAGGGCCACATTCGACCTTCAACGGCCCGGCCCCCCCGGGAGACACGCCGAAAGAAAAACACCGCGCCGGTCGCGCACGGGGCCGTCGAGATGTCTCGCCCTCTCCGCGGCAGGGGAGGGCCCATAAGGAGCTTCCCACACAACACAGCCCATTACCATGCCGTTCCGGGCACGAACCGGCTCCCCCCCCCCTCGGGTGGCCAGGCCGCAGTATCGTCATCCCGTCCGCCATCAATACCCCCCCCCCCCCACACCATCCCTGGCGGAGAGAAGGCCGGGGAAGGGCGCGCGGGAACCCCATCTCGGGAATTGACAGTCCTGAACATGGAGACACCGAATGTCATTTCGAGTAGCATCCTCGTGTCGCCGTGATTCGCTGGGGGCGTGAGCCCCCGGCCGGCAGCCGCTCGTTCTGGCAGCACTCACGTTCGGGGCAGGGCGCCCACGGATAAACCGCCCCTGGGCCGCCCAGGGCCGTGCTGATTCTCGTGCTGCCAGAGTCGTCGCCAGCCCCGGGGCCCCCGGTCCGGATTGCTTCAGATTGCGCCACGAGCACCCGGGCCCGCTCACTGGTTCTCCACCCTCTTGTGATCTGGCTCCAGCCTCGGCCCTGCCGCACCCACGCGCACTAGGGTATTACGCTTCCCCGGCTTGGTCTCGTCTCCGGGCACAGGAACTTTCGGCCCGCCCAGCAGGGAGAGAGGGCCCTTTACTGTGTGACACGAGAACGAGAGTGGGCACAACAGGGCATCCGAGACGCCTCGCCCTTGTGGCCTCCATCGCTCCCGGAGGCCGCCGGCTCCGCGCGCGCGCGCCGGACGTTGCAGGCAACAGGCCCCCTCCTTCCCGCCGGGCGGGGAGAATGCACGCACGGCCGCCCGCTCGCCCGGGACCCGGACCGTGCGCATCCTCCTTATCGCCAGGGGCAGGCGCGCCCCCGGACACCGGGGTGGGGTTGGGGGAGCGCAAGCCGCGCTCCACTCCCCGGCCTTCCCAGCGGGACAAAGGGACAGAGCGCGCGCGCCTTGCACGTAGGCCGGACCGGCCCGGGTTGGCCACCCATCTTCCTCGTACACCCGCCCTATCTCTCTCTCTCTCTCTCTCTTTCTCTCTCTCTCGGCCTCTCGCTCTAGCGTCCAGGCGAAGTGGCGGCACCGGAGGGGGGGGGCCACCGGCGGGAACCGCGGGTCGCCCGGAGGCTCCCACCGCGTGTGTGTGTGCGTGTGTGTCTTCCGGGGGGTGGGGGGGAGGGGGAACTGTGACGCGGCCCTGGGGGTGGGGCGCACGCGGTCCAGTCCATCCTTTTCCCCGAGTCCCATCCAACGCCTGCCGAGACACAAGAGGCGCCGGCGGGCTGCTCCGCCGGGTGGCACCTAGCCACCCTCCCGAAAAAACGCTCTCGGCGATCTCCCTCCCTTGAGCTCCTTTATTCCTCCCTCCCCCCGCCCCCCGCACCTTTTGCACCTCCCACCTCCCCCAAACGCACACTCGCTCGAACTCCATCATGAACAAGAAGGGTGCGTTTTCGGCCGCCGAACGAGGCCGCCCTCCTGCTGCTACGCCCTGGGCCCCGTCGCGCCCGCTGGCCCCCGTGCACCTGGATCGGCCATCCCCTCTGCCTCATGGCGCACGCACACCCTCCCCTGCCATCCACTCACACCCCTCTGCCGCTCGCCGTCCCACCGCCCTCCCCACAACCGGCCCTGTGCAATGATGTCGCTCGTCCGCCGCCGCCGCCGCCGCCGCCGCCGCCGCCGCCACCACCCCCCACAGGTAAGGGTGGTAAGAACCGTCGTCGCGGAAAGAACGAGAGCGGCGATGGCATGAAGCGCGAGCTCATCCTTCGCGACGAGATGCAGGAGTACGCCCAGGTCACCAAGATGCTTGGCAACGGCCGTATTGAGGCTTTCTGCTTCTCGGATGACGGTGGCAAGACCCGCCAGTGCCACATCCGTGGCAAGATGCGCAAGAAGGTGCGCGCCCTCCCCCCCCCCCCCC